GGAAGATGAGAACTGGCGACTTTGTAGTACAACTTTAGTACGCGGAGCAATCTGTGGAGCTGGAAGCTGAGAACTGGCGACTTTGTAGTACAACTTTAGTACACGGAGCAATCTGTGGAGCTGGAAGCTGAGAACTGGCAACTTTCTAGTGCAACTTTAGTACGCGGAGCAATCTGTGGAGCTGGAAGCTGAGAACTGGTGACTTTGCAGTGCAACTTTAGTACGCGGGTGAGTCATCTCTCGCGGCTGAGTCATCTCTCGCAGCTGCTCTGGCGCCCCTGCAGCTGAGTCATGTCTCCCGACCACCCGGCTCTCTTAAAAGGTTGACACACACACAGAGACCCACGCACTGCCTCAACTTACTCGGAGACACACACACACACACAGACAGAGACTCATACACACACAGACATAGATACACACACACAGAGACCCACACACTGCCTCAACTCACTCGACTTAACACTTCACACTGAACACTTAACAGATAACTCACACTCTGACTTCCTACGTGATGAAAAATGCTTTCGGGCCACTCGTCGTCTAGTTTTTTTGGTGTGTGTGTGTGTGTGGCAAAAGCTCGACTCGTGTACTGCGCTCCGCACGGAGCATTGTGGAAAGAATGCGTGCGCAATAGAGGCCGTACGACATTAACCGCATACAAGCTTAAAGTACCAGCATAGTGCGAGTTAGAATGCTATTTCTCCCTCAATGGGTGTGGGTGACTAAGCGTCTGACCGACCTCTTTGCCATTCGCAAAGTTCAAGGCACACACCTTACTTTGTACTTGATAGGTGGAATGGATCGAAATTCAGAGGGCATGGTCTGGGGTTGCGAAACTGAATTTCTGCTTCAACAAAGCCGGCTAGAACAACACATGAATGACTTGACTGGCATGAACAGAAAGGCCTGGTTTTGCAAGACCATGTCAAACTTCAGGCTTTTCCAAACAGCAAATACAAATCAACAAGAAAACAAGCATTGCACAAAAATAGTACGTGTAAGTGTAGCCGCAGCCAAGACCCCAGCGCGGCGTCTTTGCTTTGCGAACATCAGGCAAGCATCCGCGGTGTCCATCCTCAAAGGACCAGATTCTGCCCGAGATCGGACAGTGTCACAAGATGTCACAAGTGAGTACTTGCTTTAGGACCTTTATGGACCTTAGGACCTCATCGACTCAGCTTCCGGACACTGCTGACTCACTTGCAGTTTCATTGATTCGTGAACAAACATGTTAGCACGTCCGAGTATCTTGGAAAACGAGATGATGGGCACCGAGTCCCTGGGCGGTTTGCACCTCTCAGCAGCGGTCTTTTCAACCCAAACTCACGTTTCTGTGCTGTGGGATTTGGTGGATCCACCTACCAACAGAAAGCACATCTATAGTAAGGCATGTCAATGTCATATTATAGACTGTAATGGACGCACCTGATGGATACATTAGCATGCAATCTTGAAGTTTGAAGACACGGATTTACCAAAGCAGCATTGTGTATAATAACAGTGATATAGGCTTTCAATTGGGGGCCTCGCCCCCAGAAGCGCATTGTCCTGCCTTTGGCAATCCGCATAGCCTCAAGCGACACACACACACACTCTGACATTGGTTTTCAGTTAATCTATTCCCAAGTAGAAAAAAGGCGAAGGAACGGCAAGGTGAAAGGTCCAGGAATTTGAAGGTGTTTCAACAATGGTTGTGTGCACATCTGCGGTTCACGAACACACGGCAGCAGAAAGCAGCTGAAGGGAAAAGGGTTTGGGGGAAGTATCATGAACCACCATGGAATCAAAAAAGAGGATTGGAGCAGCTTGGTCAACCGTTGATTGCAGGTACGTCACTGGACGTCTCCATGGCACTGCAGAGAGCTTTGTTAAGTGGAGCTCTGCAGGCCTGCTCCACTCCCCTGCAGGAAGTAAGTTGCAACACCGTACGGTGGGAACCCTTAGGCGCAGGGGTTGACACACACACACACACGTGGCCGTCATCGGCGCGTGTGATTTTTCTCAAAAAGCGCTGACAGTCTGAACGTAACGTGCCTGATCTCAAGGTGACCATGGTGGAACATGTAACTGTACACTCTTGAAACTGAAAGTAGGCTGCAAGCATGAATCTGAGCAGTTCTTCCCGTGAAAGCCCGGCGGCTTGTGATTCAGGCAATCCAGTGGTGACACTAAGGCTGTTAAGAAAATCCGAGGTGTGGTGGGAACGATGAAAGCAGTTACACGAATTCCGGAATGAAAACAGCGCCTCCTTGCGGAGGATCACACCAGCACCCAAGTGGGACAACTGAGCGGTTCACACTCTGACATTGGTTTTCAGTTAATCCATTCCCAAGTAGAAAAAAGGCGAAGGAACGGCAAGGTGAAAGGTCCTGGAGTCCAGGAATTTGAAGGTGTTTCAACAATGGTTTTGTGCACATCTGCGGTTCACGAACACGCGGCAGCAGAACGCGGCTGAAGGGAAAAGGGTTTGGGGGAAGTATCATGAACCACCATGGAATCAAAAAAGAGGATTGGAACAGCTTGGTCAACCGTTGATTGCAGGTACGTCACTGGACGTCTCGAGTGATATCCTCAGGGCACTGCAGAGAGCTTTGTTAAGTGGAGCTCTGCAGGCCTGCTCCACTCCCCTGCAGGAAGTAAGTTGCAAAACCGTACGGTGGGAACCTTTAGGCACAGGGGTTGACACACACACACACACCGCAAGATCACCCCTCACATTAACCATACTCCTCCCCAGTCTGTACTGCCACATCGCGCAAACCAGCTGAGACAGGTAGAACCAGTAAATGAACTTGGCTTTTAACCTCTGATCGCCACGCCAAGGAAGAGGCTGACAGGCACAGTGCGTGGAATACGACCAAATTGATCACGACGGCTGTAATTGTCTTCTGCAACCTGCAAAAGGAGTGAGTGGATGAGCGAAACAAATCATCGCTATATATATATATATAAGTGAGAGCAAATGTGGTTCAATATATCCTGGACAGCTCCTGCACAGCAGTGGACGTAGTGGACAGTCGCCTTTCATGTACACAATCCCTTCAACAAAGTTCCCATCTATCTATGTGCACTGGCATTTCCCTACCAAACAGGACGGTCGATGTAAACAAATTTCTTGACCTACTACTGTTGTGGTGCATCATTCCCTATCCTACTATAAACTATATAATATATATATATTATATATTTGTACATACAATGAAAGGCA